ACTCCTGAGAGTAGGAATTCCGCTGGAACGGATTAATGACGTTTCAATTAATTTAAATGAGGAAAATTTATTTGATATACAGTGGACCCTCGGGTAATGGTGGCTTTGGCTAATGCCAAAATTGGCTAACAGCTCACTTTGGCATAAAAATATTGCCTCAGCTAACGCCAAATAACTCGGCTAAGGGCTTTCGTCCCAAACGTGTCCGCGCGGCCTGAGTGGGCCCAGCCACTCCATGTACAGCCAGTGTGCCATTGTTTACAAGCCAGGGAGGATGATTCCACGCATACATGCGATATATTTAGTATTATTCTATTGTTTTTAGTGCTTGTAACTGCTAAATAAGCCACCATGGTTCCAAAGAAAGCTTGTAGTGCCAGCCTTGTGATAAAGAAGGAAAGAAACACAATAAAATTTAAGAAAAAACTCGTAGCAAAGTACCAAAGTGGAGGAGGAAGAGAGAAGGGAGAATGTAGTGTAAGTATAAAAGTAAATGTGTAAATATTAAAGGACCCCAATGGAAATACGTAAGTCACTCTGACTTTTTTGGGTTATCCTAGGTACCTTACACATATGCTGATATGTTTGATAATCTATGTACGTAACTGTATTTGTGTATACCTGAATAAGCTTACTTATTTATAAATTAAAATGTAAATATTTCTTATTTTTAAATTAAAATGCAAATATTTCTTATTTATAAATTACATACACTGTTTAAGTGTGATAGTGGTGGTGGGTTCTGCTGGTGCCTCCACCACCATGTACGGCTTCTCTCAGTGGCCCTTATAAACCCAACAACAACACTTACACCATTTACTCCTCTCATACATTATGACATATTTTATTCATTCTAGAGTATATATCATGTTTCTATGTTATTAATATTGTTTATAATGTCATATTAGATGAAATGTGACAGACAAATAAGCCGTAGAGATGATATTAGCGTCATATTGAAGCATAATAAACTTGCCTTTCTCTTGCCTCCTACGTGTCTATCATACACCAACAAGTCAAGTCAATAAAGGTAAGTGTGATGTTATATGTTTATTTATCCATTTTATGAGGGAAAAATTGGAGCTTACCGCAGGATATTTCTCCAACTCAGGCCTCTTTTTGGCTGTGAGGTAGACCACTGAGTCAACGGGGAAGACCTACTACCATCCCCTGCCACCCCTGCTACCCTTGTCCCAGCCTTTGGTTCATATGTGTATAGGACCACTCTCTGCTAGGAGCTAGCTGTGTTTATTATTAAGTTTGTGGATTGAGTTTAAATATTTTAATTGTCATATCTTGTATCTGCCAAGCAATCATGGCACTCAGTAGGCATACAAGTGTTGCTGAACGTGCTAAGAAAAGGTTTAAGTGTTTAAGTCCAGGAGTTACAAAGAAAACTGAGATATTAGACAAGCTTAAGAGTGGCTCATGTGTGGTGGATAAAGCAAGGGCCTATGGCCTTAATGAATCATCAGTTTGCACAATTAAAAAGAATGAGGTGACTATATGAGCTTGTGTAATGAATAACCCAGGATGTCATCTCATGAAAAGAATGACACATAGATCACAGCAAGTAAATAAAACAGAAAACATGTTGCTTGAGTGAATCGAACAAAAAACAAAGAAAGGTGCACCACTTAATTTCATCTTAATTAGGGAAAAGGCCTTACAGTTGTTAAAAGCAGTGTATTATAAGGAAGGAAGGCCTGATAAAGAGTGTATGTTTAGCACAGGCTGGTTCTACAACTTAAAGTTGCATAATAAGTTACATAATATTAAGTTTTCTGGTGAAAGTGCTTCAGCTGATCATACAGCAGCAAGTAATTCCCCTGCTGAATTGCAGGAAATTATTTTTGAGGGTAGCTATGAACCACATTAAGTGTTTGATGCTGATAAGACAAGTGTTTTTTTGGAAGAAAATGCCAACAAGAACTTATATCAGTCAGCATTTGTTCATACATGTCCAGTTCCATTGTGTCCTAGGAGCTATCTGTGTTAGTGAATTGTGTTTTGATATTTTAATTGCCATATCTTGTATCTGCCAAGCAATCATGGCACCCAGTAGGCATATCAGTGTTGCTGAAAGTGGCAAGAAAAGGAATAAGTATTTAAGTCTTAAGAGTTAATGGAAAAAAAAGACAAGAGATAGCCTAAGGCCTTCATGAAGTGTCAGTTTGCACAATTAAAAAGTATGAGATAAATATATATGAGTTTGTGTGATGAATAACTGACTGACTTGACTGACTGACTTACTGACTTGACTGATTTACTGACTGAGTGACTTGACTGATTTACTGACTGACTTAAAATTAGACTTTTTCACTGAGGAGGACCCTGACAAATGTAGAAGAAGAGCTCTGAAACGGTGTCTAGCACAGCTGATACCGTATCGTCAGCTGTATAATGTACTGCAGGGTAAAATAGCCCAGAAATCCATTGTAGAATTTATGCACACTCGGGTACAACCATCGACTTCAGTACCAGAACCTCTACCATCCACTTCAGCCCAGTAGGACCACAGCATAATCTCCACTCTCTTCACAATCATCGACAAACACCAACACGCACAATTTAAGTTAAGAAATACTACTATTTACGTTGCATTTGTAGTCTTAAGCAGTAAAAACATAATGTATCATGACAATGAACTACAATTACATATTCACTTTTATTTTTGTAAGATCTGTTGGTCTAAAAAAAAGTTGTTTGGCTTTTTGGGGGGTGCCCAGGAATGTAACCCTACTTTTTCCCACAAGTTCTTTAGTTTATCTAACACAGATTTACCTAACCCGGTGTTTTCAGGAACATGACTACAGTGTAATATAACGGTCTACTGTAAATATAGTGGACCCTTAACAACACAGGTTCGAACTGCATGGGTCCACTTATATGCAGATTTTCTCAATAAATGTGCTGGAATTTTTTTTGGAGATATACGCCTGAAAAAATTAAGAAAAAGTTAGGTACATCATGAATGCATAAAATATGTATAGATACTAGTCTATTCTATCATATACTACCATAAAATATACACAAATTGATCAAAACTTACACACACAAGCAATTACAGATTGTACATGTTAAATTCACAAACGACAGAAATGTAAACAAACGAAGATGCAATCAAATTTTTTTTCAACATGTCAGCTGTTTCCCACCAAGGCAGGGCAACCTAAAAAAGAAAAAACTTCCATCATCGTTTAACACTTTCACCATCATTCACACATAATCACACTCTTTGCAGAGGCACTCAGATATGACAGTTTCGACGTCACTCCAAACAGCAAATATCCCAAACTCCTCTTTTAAAGTGCAAGCACTGTACTTCCCACCTCCAGGACTCAAGTCCATTTAACCAGTTTCCCTGAATCCCTTAACAAAATATTACCCTGCTCACACTCCAACAGCCTGTCAAGTCCCAAAAACCATTTGTCTCCCCTCACTCCTATCTAACATGCTTACACATGCCACACAAGCCCATTGCACACAAAACCTCTTTTACCCCCTCTCTCCATCCTCTCCTAGGATGACCCCAACCCCTCCTTCCCTCTGCTACAGATTTATACACTCTCCAAGTCATCCTATTTTGCTCCATCCTCCCTAAATGACCAAACCACCTCAACAAACCCTCCTCAAACCTCTGAATAATACTTTTATTAACTTTATACCTTGTCTTAATTTCCATACTACGAATTCTCGGCATAATATTTACACCACACACACACTGCCTTTAGATACGACATCTCCACTGCCTCTAGCCTCTTTCCCGCTGCAGTGTTTACAACCCATGCTTCACACCCATATAAGATTGTTGGTATGACTATACTCTCAAACATTCCCTTCTTTGCCTCCACAGATACCTCAATGTACCACTCACCTTTTATTCTTCATCAAGTCTATGGTTTACCTCGTCCTTCATAAACCCCATTTGCTGACAAGTCTACTCCCAAATATCTGAACACATTCACTTCTTCCATACTCTTCCCTCCAACTACTCCCAAATATCTGAACACATTCACTTCTTCCATACTTCTTCCCTCCAATGTGATATCCAACTTTTCCTTATCTAAATCATTTAATACCCTCATAACCTTACTCTTATCTATGTTCACTTTCAACTTTCTTCCTTTATACACCCTCCGAAACTCATCCACTAACCTCTGCAATTTTCCTTTAGAATCTCCCAAAAAGCACAGTATCATCAGGAAAAAGTGTCAACTCCTATTTTGTATTTGATTCTCCATAATTTATCCCACTTCATTTACAGCCCCATCTATAAATATGTTAAAGCAACCATGGTGACATTACACCTCCCTATCTCCCTATCTTTTGTCCCCCTTCCCTTTATATAAAAGGAACTACACATGCTTTCTGCCAGTCCCAAGGTACCTTCCCCTCTTTCATGCATTTATTGAACAAAAGTATCAACCACTCCAAAACCATATTCCCACCTGTTTTTAACATTTCTGCATCATCAGTTCCAGCTACTTTACCCCCTTTCATTCTATCCAATGTCTCACACCTCCCCCACACTCACATTTGGCTCTTCACTCCTAAAAGATGTTATACCACCCTGGCCAATGCAGGAAATTACTGCCTCCCTCTTCATCAATACAGCTTCTTCTCACTTAGTGATATACTCATTTACTGACTACTTGGACTCATGACAGGCTCTCTCACCATTATGCATACCTAAATAATGTGTATTAGAGCTGATTTCCAATATTCCATTTATTACAGTATACAGTACACTACTGCATAAACATTTAAAAATATACCAGAAATGTTATAAATGGCACAAAGGTGACATTAAAACAATATCAAAGATGGTTGACACAAACCCACTACCATCATGGTATGCTCCTCACTTAGCAACGAATTCGTTTACCAAAGTGGTCTTAAGAATGGAACTCCATCGTTAGTGAGGAGAGGCTGTATTTAACAGTTCCTAAAAATATTCCTGCCATCTTCCCAATACCTCCAACTCCCCATTTACTAACTTCCCTATTCAGGTACAACAGAATAATTACATTACTATTATCAAGTATAATATTTAATTATTCAAGGATTAACTCTTAATTTCAAGTGCTACCTGCTCTTGATGACTGAATTGGAGGTGGCGTAGGAGAAGACGTGGGTGTAACTGATGCAACAGATGAAGAGCGAGAATTGACAGTTCCTTGGGCATCAGCTAATACAGAGCAAGACAGAGGTAATGATGATTGGCCAGTAAGGCTGGATGGAGTTCCACTGATACCATGTGCTGTGCCTGGGGTTGGAGAGTGTGGAGCAGTTCGTGCTCTCTGAGAGGGAGATGATGACCGCAAAGATGGAGATCCAAGGCGAGTACTGTAAGCATAAATTTTATAATGAATATTTTAAGCTAATAAATCTTTTACTTATCATATAAAGAGAATTCATGATGAAGTGAATGCTCTGAATAGTGCATTTATAATAGAAAATTACAGTGAAAGTCAACAGTTATTCAATGTAATGGAATAAAAGGCATATAATGAGGTTAATTATAATTTTACCTGTAATTGTTTTACATGATGGTAGGATTGCTGATGTCTTTTTTCTGTCTCATAAACATGCAAGATTTCAGGTACGTCTTGCTACTTCTACTTACACTTAGGTCACACTACACATGCATGTACATGTTTATTTATACACACTCATCTGAGTTTTCTTTGATTTTATCTTAATAGTTCTTGGTCTTATTACTTTTCCTTTTATATCCATGGGGAAGTGGAATAAGAATCTTTCCTCCGTAAGCCATGCGTGTTGTAAAAGTCAACTAAAATGCCAGGAACAATGGGCTAGTAATCCCTTTTCCTGTAATAATTACTAAAAAGAATAAGAAGAAAAAAATGTGTGAGGTGAAGGAGTTGAATGATGATGAAAGTATTTTCTTTTTGAGGATTTTCTTTCTTTTTGGGTCACCCTGCCTCGGTGGGAGACGGCTGACTTGTATAAAAAAAAAAAAAAAAAATTTTTCAACAAGTCGGCCGTCTCTCACTGAGGCAGGGTGACCCAAAAGAAAAGAAAATCCCCAAAAAGAAAATACAGTGGTCCCTCAATAATCGACCGGCCTGAAAGTCGACCATTTCGGAAATCAACCGGTTTTTTCGACAAAATATTGACTCGGAAATTGACCGAAATTCGTTTATCGACCCGTCTCGACCCGTCGTCCCAGACGCGTATGCACGAGGTAAGCGGGCCTCGACCCGCCTCAGCCTTCCTTCCCAGCCAGTGTGCCATTGTTTACCAGTTAGCGGCGGTCCTCTCACGTGCTCCAGTGAAATATTTCATATTTCATTTTAGTGCTTGCAAGTTATTTAAGTGCTAAATAAGCTACCATGGCTCCAAAGAAAGCTCCTAGTGCCAAACCTTTGGTAAAGAAGGTGAGAAATACCATTGAATTTAAGAAAAACATTGAACAATATGATAGTGGCGTACGTGTGGGCGAACTGGCGAGGATGTATAACAAAAATCATTCAACCATATCTTCCATCATAGCCATGAGAAAGGAAATCAAGGACGCTGTTGTTGCAAAGGGGGTAAATATGCTGACAAAAATGAGATCACCAGTACTGGAAGAGGTTGAGAAGTTATTATTGGTGTGGATAAATGAGAAACAATTAGCAGGAGACAGTCTTATGACCTCGATTATTTGTGAAAAGGCTAGGCAGTTGCATGAAGATTTGGTAAATAAATTGCCTGCAAATAGTGGTGAAGTGAGTGATTTTAAGGCCAGCAAAGGCTGGTTTGAGAGATTTAAGAAGCGTACTGGCATACACAGTGTGGTAAGGCATGGTGAGGCTGCCAGTTCGGACCACAAGGCGGCTGAAAAATATGTGCATGAATTCCAGTACATAGAGGCTGAAGGACTGAAACCTGAACAAGTGTTCAATTGTGACGAAACAGGCCTCTTCTGGAAGAAAATGCCAAAGAGGACCTTCATTACACAAGAGGAAAAGTCAATGCCAGGACACAAGCCTATGAAAGACAGGCTGACGCTAATGTTCTGTGCTAATGCTAGTGGGGATTTCAAAGTGAAGCCGTTACTAGTGTACCATTCTGAAAATCCCAGAGCATTTAAGAAAAATAATGTTATGAAGAGTAAATTGTGTGTGTTTTGGAAATCTAATAATAAGGCATGGGTCACGAGGGAAATTTTTGTAGAGTGGTTCAACGAAGCGTTTGGCCCTAGTGTGAAGAATTACCTCCTGGAGAAGAAATTGGATCTCAAGTGCCTGCTAGTAATGGACAATGCACCTGCTCATCCACCAAACTTGGATGACCTAATTCTGAAGGAGTTTGGGTTCATCTGAGTAAAGTTCTTGCCCCCGAATACCACTCCTCTCCTCCAACCCATGGACCAGCAGGTCATTGCAAACTTTAAAAAAACTGTACACCAAAGCAATGTTTGAAAGGTGCTTCAATGTGACCTCAGACACTCACTTGACCCTACGAGATTTTTGGAAAGAACATTTCAGTATTTTCCATTGTGTAAGCCTTATAGGTAAGGCTTGGGAGGGAGTGTCTACCAGGACTTTGAACTCTGCTTGGAGAAAATTGTGGCCAGATTGTGTCGACAAGAGGGATTTGGAAGGGTTTGGGGCTGACCCTGATGAGCCTATGTCAGTTTTGAACTCTATTGTGGCACTGGGGAGTTCCATGGGGTTGGATGTGAGTTTGGAGGATGTGGAAGAGTTGGTGGAGGACCACAACGAAGAGCTAACCACTGAGGAGCTGCAAGAGCTTCAGCAGGAAGAGCAACAGATCGCAGCTCAGAATCTTGCTGCAGAGGAGGAGGAAGAGAGATGGAAGAAGGTGCCTTCTTCAGAAATTAAGGAGATTTTTTACTATGTGGGGTAAGATGGAAAGATTTATGGAGAAAACATCACCCAGAGAAGGATGTTGCAAGCCATATCGGGCAACTTGTACAGTGACAGAGTCTTGGCCCATTTTAGGGAAGTTTTAAAGAGATGCCAGAAACAGAGCTCTCTGCCACAGTTATTTTGTGAGACAGGACTCCAGTGACTCTCAAGCTGGTCCTAGTGGCATTAAGAAACAGAGAAAAGAAGCAACCCCAGAAAAGCAAATGGTACCTGAGGTGTTGCTGGAAGGGGATTCCCCTTCCAAACTATAAACAATCCACTCTCCTCCTCCCTCCAGTCTCCCATACACTAAGAAGAATCTCCAATAAAGGTAAGTGTTATGCTGTTAATGTTTCATTCATCATTTCCCATTGTATTGTTTATGTACTACATGAATATTTCATGTAAAAAAATTTTTTGTTTTAATACTTCTGGGTGTCAGGAACGGATTAATTGAATTTACATTATTTCTTATGGGGAAAATTGATTCGTAAATCGACCATTTCGATAATCGACCGGCTTCCAGGAACGGATTACCGTCGATAATCGAGGGACCACTGTACTTTCATTATCATTCAACACTTTCACCTCACTCACACATAATCACTGTTTTTGCAGAGGTGCTCAGAACACAACAGTTTAGAGCATATACATATAAAGATACACAATATATCTCTCCAAACTGCTAATATAAATGTGTGTGTGTGTGTGTGTGTGTGTGTGTGTGTGTGTGTGTGTGTGTGTGTGTGTGTGTGTGTGTGTGTGTGTGTGTGTATATATGTGTATATGTGTATGTATGTGTGTATGTATGTATGTATGTATGTATGTATGTATGTATGTATGTATGTATGTATGTAGTAGGTTGGTAGACAGCAACCGCCCAGGGAGGTACTACCGTCCTGCCAGGTGAGTGTAAAACTGAAGCCTGTAATTGTTTTACACGATGGTAGGATTGCTGGTGTCTTTTTTTTTTCTGTCTCATACACATGCAAGATTTCAGGTACGTCTTGCTACTTCTACTTACACTTAGGTCACACTACACATACATGTACAAGCATATATATACACACACCTCTTTGGGTTTTCTTCTATTTTCTTTCTAGTTCTTGTTCTTGTTTATTTCCTCTTACCTCCATGGGGAAGTGGAACAGAATTCTTCCTCCATAAGCCATGCGTGTTGTAAGAGGCGACTAAAATGCCGGGAGAAAAGGGCTAGTAACCCCTTCTCCTGTATATATTACTAAATGTAAAAGGAGAAACTTTTGTTTTTCCTTTTGGGCCACCCTGCCTTGGTGGGATACAGCCAGTGTGTTGAAAGAAAGATATATATATATATGTATATATATATATAATATAATTTTATTGCCCAACAACTTACATAACAAATGCAACAGTGCATATATCTTACAAGAAAAAGAACATGGTTATGCTTAGCATTTTGAGATGCCTTGACAACTACTAATACTAATACATACTATAAATAAAAATCTTATTAGACATGTTTTTATAAATGTTTTGCATATTAAATATAAAAACTTATATAACACTGTGTTATAAATTTTAGTAGAAATTGAGCATTGATTGAAAGATGATAAAATAAAATTTAATGTTAAATTTAAATTTAACTTCCAAGAGAGTTAAAAATAATAAGAAAATAACGATGTAATAATAGTTGGTGATATGAATAAATTAAAAAATAGCATAAATCTAAAACACAAAGATTTTTATTTTCAAAATGTGCATAACTGTTACAAAATTAGGTAACATTTATTTAATACATTCTGAAAGTCTTCCTGGTTATACACAGCATTTCAGGCAACTAAAGTTAGAACATAAAACTATTTTACACTGCTGATCTGAAGTTATGTTATTTAAATCCAAAGTTATATATTAAGCTGTTTGAAGATAAGACTAATTAATGTATTTTTTTTTTTAGTAAATAACTTTGTATATTGAAATAATAATATTAATATGCAGTGATAGTAAATACAAAACTGTACCGACGATCTCGGCTGTAACAATTTTTGAAAGGGTTGAAAAATAGTGGTGACATTAGGAGGATGCAAACTGTAAAACTTCAAAAATTTAAGAGGGATTATTGTGCAAAACTTTTGCTAATCATTTTATCCAAGTGGATTCTAACAATATACAATAAAGTGAAGAAATATATTTTATAGTAATCTAGTATTACAAGTACAAACTGATAGCATGTTGCTTTCTCTCATTTAAGTTACTTTAGGGACATGCTGATACATGAAGAATCATATTGTCAAACTGAGGAAATTTAGAATAACACTATCAAGGGAGTATATAACTGAAAAAAGTATGGTTTTACATACATAAAAATTTTTTTTTTTTTTTTTTCAACAAGTCGGCCGTCTCCCACCGAGGCAGGGTGACCCAAAAAAGAAAGAAAATCCCCAAAAAGAAAATACTTTCATCATCATTCAACACTTTCACCACACT